AGTGAACAGAGTAAATGCGTCCCACCCTTCTCTGTAGAGCCGCAATCCCCATACTCTCGTCTTAGTCCAGTCAGCTTTTTCTCCGGCCGAGGTGAAAGAAATAACTAAAGGATTGCATCTGCCACCTGGGGTGCTCCCCGTTCTTCTAGTTACACTATCAAAGCATGGTCCGCAGTTTTGTTTCCAGTGACCCTGGCCGCAAATCCAGGGCCCTGTCCCTGAATATCCTGGAATATTTTCCCTCTTGACTGAGATGAGGTCAGTTGATTCAGTGAGCCAATACACTGTCCCGGTAGTTTCACAACCCCAACTAGCACAGTATCCTTCTTCGGCCCCCCTACACTGCTTGATTTTGGCTTTGCTACGGTCACTCCCCGGACAAACGTAAAAGGGTCTGGCTCTGGTGTGTAACCGTCCCAGTACATTCTCACAGCCATACGCGTTCCGACTACTAGTTCCTGAATAAGGGAGACCGGGAGTCTCCCATGCTCCTCCAACTAGGTCACATAGATCAAAATATAACTTGGGAAAGGTAACATCAACCGGTCCAATGACTTGAGTGCTATTTATGACTGTTCCTATTTCCAAACTACTGATTTTCCAGGTAATTTTATGGGGGGTATGTGGGTTATAATCTGACAATGAACATGGAAGAGATAGCAAAGTCAAAAAGTACATTTTTAAGCACGAGTCAGTCTTATCTTTAGAGGATTTGGGGTTCGTTGAAGTTTCCATTCTGGTTCCTGGTCAGTCCCTGTAGTCCCTGTTGCTGGCTGATCCTTGGCGTGTTTCACGTGGGAGGCATGTACCCAGGCGGCAATTCCGTCGACTTTCAGGGAGGTTGGAGTAGTCAGTAGGACAGTAAAGGGTCCTTTCCACCGTGGTTCTAAGGTTTTTGCTTGGTGTCTCCGGACATACACCTGGTCTCCTTCCTTGAACGGGTGAGGGCACGGTGGAATGTCTTTGTCCTTGTAGGCCTCTGCAAGCGGTTTCCAGATGTACTCTCTCACTGCTCTGAGAGCCTGGAGATGCGCCTGTAACGAGGGTGGATGGGGGAACATGGTAGGATCAAAATCACAGAAAGAGGATGCCGGTGGTGGGCTCCCATATAATATTTCAAAGGGAGTCAGCCCATGATATGCAGGAGTGTTGCGCACTCGAAAAAGGGCCATAGGGAGGAGCCGTACCCAGTCTTTTCCGCCAGTCTCTAGGGCTAATTTAGTCAAGGTCTCTTTTAGAGTTCTATTCATTCTTTCTACCTGGCCTGAACTCTGGGGTCGATAAGCACAATGTAGTTTCCAATGAATCCCCAAACTCTTGGCCACCCCCTGACTTACCTGGGAGGCGAAAGCGGGACCGTTATCTGACCCTAATACTTGCGGCAATCCGTACCGGGGAAAAATTTCTTCAAGGAGTTTTTTAACGACTGTCGTGGCCGTTTCATTCTTCGTGGGGTAGGCTTCTACTCAGCCTGAAAAGGTGTCTACAAAAACTAAGAGATATTTATAACCATACAGTCCCGGTTTTACTTCAGTAAAGTCTATTTCCCATTGTATTCCCGGTCGGTGTCCTCGGGCACGGGCTCCTTGGGGGAGTTTTAGTCGCCCTGCGTTTACCTGGGCACAAGGCTTGCATTGGTCCACTGTAATTTGAGTAAGAAACTGCAGGTCAGGAGTTATAAACGGGCATTTCTCATTTGCAAGTAGAGCGTGCATTTTTCTCCGGCTCAAATGAGTGAGGCGGTGGAGGTGTTCAATGATTTCAGTAGCTATGCGATAGGGCAGGATGACCTTGTCTCTTTTTCTCCATGCTTTGCACTTAGCATCCCACTCCCCTTCGAGTTCTTTAATGAGAGCTCTGTCATTATCAGTATATTTAAATGGAACTCCCCAGTTGCAGACTATGTCATCTGTGTTTTGCCTGGTCTCTTCGGGTCCCATTTTTGAGTTTATTTCCAGGGGTAGGGCTGAGATTGGCTCAGTGGCAACAGTTTTTGCAGTCTGGTCTGCCAGTCTATTTCCTCTAGCTACTGGATCTGTTCCTTTTTGGTGGCCCGGACAATGAATAATGCTCAGTCTTTTTGGAAGGAATAGTGCCCTCAAGAGGTTTATTATCTCTTGCTTGTTCTTTATTTCTCGTCCTCCTGAAGTTAAGAGGCCCCTTCTGCGATAAATCTCACCGTGCACATGGGCCGTAGCAAAAGCATACCTACTGTCAGTATAGATGTTTGCTACTTTTCCCGCCGCCAGTTCTAGAGCCTTTGTGAGGGCTATTAGTTCAGCTCGCTGGGCCGACGTCCCTGGCTCTAGGGCACTGGCCCAGACTATGGAGTCATTGTTACTCACCACTGCTGCTCCTGCCCGCCGAGTTCCTTCGGTGACATAGCTGCTGCCATCTGTGAACCAGGTTACCTCCGCGTCTGGTAGAGGCTGGTCAGTTAGATCTTCACGAGTCCCATGAACTTCGGCCAGAATCTGGGAGCAGTCATGGGGGGCATCCTTGGCCGTTCCCGGCTCCGGCAATAGGGAAGCGGGATTGAGCGTAGCAACTGGTCCAAAAGTAATGCGTTCAGGAGCTAAGAGCAAAGCCTGGTAGTGAGTCATGCGGGCGTTTGAAAGCCACCTGTCTGGCGGTTGGCGGACAACCGACTCCACAGCATGTGGAGCTATTATTGTGACTTTCTGTCCCAGGGTTAGTTTGTTTGCGTCCCTGAGCAGGGTCGCAATAGCTGCTACCATGCGCAGGCAAGGGGGCCACCCTGAGGCCACTGGATCTAGTTTCTTTGAAAGGTAGGCAACCGGTCGTCTCCAAGGGCCTAGGGACTGAGTCAATACTCCTTTTGCAATTCCTTTGGCCTCATCCACATACAGTGTGAATGGTTTTGTGACATCAGGCAGTCCCAGGGCCGGTGCCGTTAGGAGGGCCTCTTTAATGCAATCAAAAGCCCGTTGTTGTTCTTTTCCCCAGATGAAGGAGTTTTTTTCCTTCGTTAACATGTACAAGGGAGCGGCCAGCTCCGCAAACCCAGGTATCCACAGCCGGCAGAATCCTGCCGTTCCCAGAAACTCACGTACCTGTCGGGAGTTCCTTGGGACTGGTATAGACGCCACCGCAGCTTTCCTGGCTTCAGTTAACCATCTTTTTCCTCCCTTTATGACATATCCTAGGTAGGTTACCTCCTCTCTGCATATCTGGGCTTTCTTGGCAGATGCCCGATATCCTAGGGCTCCCAATTCACGTAACAGGGCCCTTGTCCCTTCTAGGCAGGCCTCTCTGGTAGGTGCTGCCAGCAAGAGATCATCTACATATTGGAGGAGAGTCAGATTGGGGTTATTTAATCTGAATGCCACCAAGTCTTGATGTAGGGCCTCATCAAAGATGGTGGGGGAATTTTTGAAGCCTTGTGGCAATCGAGTCCAAGTCAGTTGCCCACTTACTCCATGTTCCGGATCTCTCCATTCAAAAGCAAATAAAGGTTGGCTCGCCGGGCTCAGTCTTAAACAAAAGAAAGCATCCTTTAAATCCAGGACACTATACCACACATGGGAGGGAGGCAAGGAGCTGAGAAGGTTATAAGGATTTGGCACAGTGGGATGTATGTCTTCTACACGACTATTTATTTCTCTTAGGTCTTGGACGGGCCTATAGTCATTTGTCCCCGGCTTCTGCACTGGTAGGAGAGGAGTGTTCCACGGTGACCGGCAAGGAATGAGAATTCCCAGTTTTAGCAGTCTGTGGATGTGGGGGCGAATGCCCTCAAAGGCTTTCCTTGACATGGGATATTGTCTGATAGCCACGGGCCCTGCAGTAGCCTTTAGTTGTACGTGTACTGGTGGCTGTTGTACTGACAATCCCATGCCACCCGTCTCTGCCCATGCATCTGGGAATTCAGTCATCCATCTCTCCATGTAAGGTGGGGTTCCCTCTTTGTTAGTTTCAGTTTTTCTAATGGCCTCATGTAGTTTGTATTCATTTTCTAATTTTAGGGTTAAGATGCACAGGGATTTCCCTTGAGGCCCAGTCACTGTTATTTCTTGGTCTTTAAAGTTGATTTGTGCTCCCAGTTTTGTCAGAAGATCTCGTCCCAATAGGGGGTAGGGACAATCAGGCACATGTAAAAAGGAGTGAGTGACAGTACCTGTAGCTAAGTCGACCCGCCGATCAGTCGTCCACCGGTACGCGCGTCCTCCTGTGGCTCCCTGTACCCACGAGGTCTTCTGGCTCATAGGTCCATCAGTAGTTGTCAAAACTGAATGTTGAGCCCCGGTGTCTACTAGAAACGTGGTGGGCTTGCCTCCCACAGACAGAGTTAGCCTGGGCTCAGGGGGAGGCTCCTGGCCCCGACTGGCCTAGTCTTCTAAAGTCAAAACTGAGGTCTGCCTTTTCTTGTTTCTAGGATTGTTGGGACAATCCTTTGCCCAATGGCCGTTTTCTTTACAGTAAGCACATTGATCTTTCCCTAAACGGTTTCGCCGCTCACCTCCCTGTTCCTTAAACTGTCTCCCTATCTCAGTTCCCTGGGATGTTATTTGCTTGTTATGAACTACAGTGGCCAAGATACGGCTCAGTTCTTTATTCCGTCGCTTATCTCTCTTATCCTCTCTTTCTTCCTGCATCTTTCTTAGTCTCTCTTCTCTCTCTTCCGGAGTCTCTCTCTTATTGAAAATTTTATCTGCCTCTTTTACTAAGTCCTGCAAGCTATAATTCTGCAATCCTTCTAGTCTTTGTAACTTATTTCGAATGTCTGGTGCCGACTGTCCTATGAAAGCCATAATCACTTCCCCCTGCCTATCTTTACTTGCCGGATCAAATGGTGTATACATGCGGTATGCTTCCATTAGTCTTTCTAAGAATCCCACGGGAGTCTCCCCAGTTCCCTGTAGAACTGCTCTTATCTTAGCCAAATTAGTGGGTCGCCTTCTGGCACCCTTGAGACCCGCCAACAGAGTCTGGCGATAAAGACGGAGACGCTCCCTACCATTTGGAGTGTCGAAGTCCCAATTAGGTCAGACAAGGGGGAACACTTCATCAATTTCGTTTGGAAGTTGGGTGGGCTGCCCATCAGCCCGAAGGACATTCTTTCTGGCCTCCATCAGCACCCGTTGGACTTCTTCTGTGGTCAGTAGAGTCCGTAACAGCTGCTGACAATCATCCCAAGTCGGCTGGTGCGTCAACAAGATGGACTCGATGAGACCTGTTAATGCTTGGGGGTCTTGGGAGAAAGGAGGGTTATGAGTTTTCCAATTATACAAATCAGAGGCAGAGAAAGGCCAATACTGGACCTGCCCCCCTACAATTCTCAAGGGGTACAATTGTGAAGACCATTGCCCTTCTCCTCTTTCTCCCTCCTCCAATTGAGCCCTGCGCAGCCGCAACCTGGTATGGATTGGGGATCTGGCTTCAGGCTGTTCATTTACAGTGGTGTCTGGAGAGCCCATCTCCCCCGGTCTTTCTCTTGGGGGTTCTCCTTCAGGTTGATGCTCCTGGGGATAAGGTGGAGGAAGTTCAGAGGTCATTAATAGGTCCATCTGACTATCATCAGGCAGGACAGGCTTAGGTCGAGGACGAGTAGCTTCCAGCGGACAGAGGGAAACAAGAGCAGAGGGTTGGGGTTGGGGCGGAGCTGAAGGCGCCGGCAATTCTGGAGAAGGAGGAGGAGGAGGACAGGGTGCGATGAGAAAAGGTTGAGCCCACGGCGGGGGATTAACCACGAGGTCCTCCCATACCAAGATATACGGTAACTGGTCGGGATGCCCCGATGGCCCGGTCGCCCTGATGAGGCCTTTCACCTGCAAAATAGTGGTTAGATTAAAGGTGCCGCTGGGCGGCCATGAAACAGCGAGAGTCGGCCACTCAACGGTGCAGAGAGTTTTCCATTTCTTGCGACGCACTTCCACTGATAGGGTGTGAGCGCTGGTGGAAACGTCAGGCCAATGTTGGAGAGTAAGACTTAGGGGAGAAGACTCAGCCTGACCCATATTCAAAGACAAGAGACTACACACAATTACAAAACAAACAAATGACACAAACAGGATTCGCGCGATACAAGATTTCCAAAGGGCCCGATACAAGATACAAGACGGCCGCTCTGGGGCGGCCATACAAGGCCAGACGAGGGTGACGTGATCTTCACCCTGTCTCCAAAGCACTGGAGCGTCCTCCAGCGTACAAGTTCAAATCAAACCGGTACCGTTCAAAGACTGGGGAGGACAAGGACAGAACAGTACAACACACAAAAATACACACTTTCCGATCGGTCTTACCTCCCCCTGCTAGGATGTTGCTTGCCGAGGACGGTTGCTCCTGATTCCCGGCCAATGCAACAAAATGTTAGACTCAGGGAGAGTCCAACCCCGTGGAAAGGGAGCCACTCCGTTCGGCAAGACAAGTCACAAAGCAGAGGCTGTAAAAAGCATGAGGATTTTATTGGGCATTCGCGAATGGGCAACAGAGTCTGTGGAGGCACCCAGGACTCTGCGCGCCCCAAGCAGGTTAAAGCATCTTTTTAAAGGACAAAACCGCAAACTTCGCATAACAGCTGGCATTTTACTTTAAGATTAGAATCTCTTTTATTCCTGCAGCTGCCTGCTCCGGCCTTGCTACCTTATCTCTTTTATTCCTGCAGCTGCCTGCTCCGGCCTTGCTACCTTATCTCTTTTATTCCTGCAGCTGCCTTGTTCATGTCTGGGAAACTGAAACTTTTACTTCTTTCATGAAATAGTTTTTCTATATTTATTCCAACATGGCTCTACTCTTGCTCAGCAGAAAGCAATATACAGAAGCAAAATCAAGCGGTTATTCTAAGCTCTTACACCCGCAGCCCTTCCTGCACTCTGTCCTGAACCCTTCTTTTGGAGAGGCTCTCTGGGGAGGTGCTCCCCCGTATCCCTGCCCTCTACTCACACACTCGTTACCCGTTACCCGCTTGCCCGTGCCTTGGCTGTGCACCCCAGCCCCTCCTGGAGGCCCTCCGCAGCTGTCCTGCCTACCCCTGCCCGCTCAGTGCTTGACCTCAAGTTGTCCTGATAGACACGGCTTTCCTGCTCACTTGCTTAGTGCTGGGCTCTGGCAACAGGTCTGTTATCCTCCTGCTTTTTGGCAGAAACCCTGCCCTTCCTCATGGGTGTCTTCAGGCTCCAGGCCTTCTCTGGCGCTCTCTCTGGTGGCTCCTCATCCCTTTTCACAAGACACTTTCCTACCTGGTCGCTCGACAGCTCAAGCCCACGTGGATGGCTGCGGCCTCCCCACAATGGCCTGCTTGCTTGCTTGCTCTTCGTGTGTCAGTGCTCATGACCCCCTTTCCCAGGTGCTGGAGTCTGTCCCTGCCCTCCTGCCTGCCTGCCCACTGTCTTTCTCTCCTACAGGGCCTGTGTGTGTATGTGTATGTGTGTGTCCATGAGGGCCCACAAGCCTCCTCTTGCCACAACCTCGGTGGCATGGGTGTCCAGCGTGGCCTCCCATGCCATCTCTGGGCATGGGCTCATGAGGACCCCTTTCCCTTTGTCAGGGGCTCCTAGGAAACACTCGAGGGCTTAGGCATCCCTGTCGTGTGCTTTTGAGGCAGGAATATGGCCCCACGGCCTCCAGCCAGATGCTGCTTCCATCTCGTTCACCAGAGAACGCTTCACCCTCCACCAGGGCCATCCCGGACTCACGACTCTCTCTCCTGCAGGCCAGCCATAGACCATCGGCCACCGCTGATGTGCCACCTGCCACAACACACACAACAGCTGATGTGTGTTCTCCACAGAGTTCCTTCTCACCAGGACAGGTAGAATAGCAACATGCCTGGATGCCTCATTTGTACCGGCTGCTCTCACAGCACGCAACGGCATAAGTTGTGCAAGCCACGAGAGGACGCGCCAAGCTGCCCTTTGTATCCCGGGTGGACTCAGGCCTTGTGAGTGCTAGACAGCCCAGCCCTGAGCCGCCCCAGCGTCAGGTGGGGGTCCCGGGCAGTGCTCCCGGACACGTGTCATTAAAAGACCAGGGGTCCAAGGCCGAACGGCCCGCATATCAAGGCCCAGGAGGGGGTGTGGGACGCTTGGTGCCTAGCATGAGCCCGGGCCTCTGTGGTCAAAGTGTCAGGGTGCCTTCCCCAGCAAGATACTCCGTCAGGACACGCAAAGAACTCTGGGAGTTGCAGTCCCACGTCACTGCGTGCTCAGGGCTCTGTGGGAGTTTGAGTCCCACGTCAGTCTGCATGCCCGTGGGCCCTCTGGGAGTTGCAGTCCCACGTCAGCATGCTCAGGGCATTGTGGGAGCTGGGGTCCTACGTCAGCACGCTCAGGGCACTGTGGGAGTTTGAGTCCCACGTCAGTCTGCGTGCCCATGGGCTCTCTTTAAGTTGTAGTCCCACGTCGGGCCACTTAAATACTCTTGCTGCTGGCGTGATGAGGCATTTTGAGAAAAGATGTTCCACTAGGTAGCCTTCGAACGGGCGCTCTGGGACAACAGACACCATCCCCTTGTCTCTCGAGGTGCATTCTGAGACGTCTATATTCCCAGCACCGTTCTCCCCCCCTCCTGCCCCGTCCCCTCCGCCGAGCACAATTGAGCACAGCTGAGCCCAGCCGAGCTCAACCGAGCAGGCATGCAGTGCTATGTTCGTGTTGCAGTGGAAGGAGATGGTCAGGCTTTTATTTTTATTGGAAAGGCAGATATACAGAGAGGAGGAGAGACAGAGAGGAAGATCTTCTGTCCGATGATTCACTCCCCAGGCGGCCGCCACGGCTGGAGCTGAGCCAATCCGAAGCCAGGAGCCTCTTCCGGGTCTCCCATGTGGGTGCAGGGTCCCAGAGCCTTGGACCGTCCTCGACTGCTTTCTCGGGCCACAGGCAGGGAGCTGGATGGGAAGCGGGGCTGCTGGGAGTAGTACCAGCACCCAATTGGGATTCCGGGCGTGCAAGACGAGGACCTTAACCACTGTGCCACCGCACCGGGCCCAATGGCCAGGCTTTTGGGGCACACTTGGGAACTTGTACTGTAGGTGGCAGAAGTCATGAGCAGGTATGACGGTGGCCGGGGAACCACCTGGGCCTGGACGAGGGAGCGCTTTCAGGGCCTGTGCTCCCGGCAGCACAGGCCTGGACCCCTGGACTGTTTCCCCGCAGCCCTTCCTGCACTCTGTCCTGAACCCTTCTTTTGGAGAGGCTCTCTGGGGAGGTGCTCCCCCGTATCCCTGCCCTCTACTCACACACTCGTTACCCCTTACCCGCTTGCCCGTGCCTTGGCCGTGCACCCCAGCCCCTCCTGGAGGCCCTCCGCAGCTGTCCTGCCTACCCCTGCCCGCTCAGTGCTTGACCTCAAGTTGTCCTGATAGACACGGCTTTCCTGCTCACTTGCTTAGTGCTGGGCTCTGGCAACAGGTCTGTTATCCTCCTGCTTTTTGGCAGAAGCCCTGCCCTTCCTCGTGGGTATCTTCAGGCTCCAGGCCTTCTCTGGCGCTCTCTCTGGTGGCTCCTCATCCCTTTTCACAAGACACTTTCCTACCTGGTCGCTCGACAGCTCAAGCCCACGTGGATGGCTGCGGCCTCCCCACAATGGCCTGCTTGCTTGCTTGCTCTTCGTGTGTCAGTGCTCATGACCCCCTTTCCCAGGTGCTGGAGTCTGTCCCTGCCCTCCTGCCTGCCTGCCCACTGTCTTTCTCTCCTACAGGGCCTGTGTGTGTATGTGTATGTGTGTGTCCATGAGGGCCCACAAGCCTCCTCTTGCCACAACCTCGGTGGCATGGGTGTCCAGCGTGGCCTCCCATGCCATCTCTGGGCATGGGCTCATGAGGACCCCTTTCCCTTTGTCAGGGGCTCCTAGGAAACACTCGAGGGCTTAGGCATCCCTGTCGTGTGCTTTTGAGGCAGGAATATGGCCCCACGGCCTCCAGCCAGATGCTGCTTCCATCTCGTTCACCAGAGAACGCTTCACCCTCCACCAGGGCCATCCCGGACTCACGACTCTCTCTCCTGCAGGCCAGCCATAGACCATCGGCCACCGCTGATGTGCCACCTGCCACAAGACACACAACAGCTGATGTGTGTTCTCCACAGAGTTCCTTCTCACCAGGACAGGTAGAGTAGCAACATGCCTGGATCCCTCATTTGTACCGGCTGCTCTCACAGCACGCAACGGCATAAGTTGTGCAAGCCACGAGAGGACGCGCCAAGCTGCCCTTTGTATCCCGGGTGGACTCAGGCCTTGTGAGTGCTAGACAGCCCAGCCCTGAGCCGCCCCAGCGTCAGGTGGGGGTCCCGGGCAGTGCTCCCGGACACGTGTCATTAAAAGACCAGGGGTCCAAGGCCGAACGGCCCGCATATCAAGGCCCAGGAGGGGGTGTGGGACGCTTGGTGCCTAGCATGAGCCCGGGCCTCTGTGGTCAAAGTGTCAGGGTGCCTTCCCCAGCAAGATACTCCGTCAGGACACGCAAAGAACTCTGGGAGTTGCAGTCCCACGTCACTGCGTGCTCAGGGCTCTGTGGGAGTTTGAGTCCCACGTCAGTCTGCATGCCCGTGGGCCCTCTGGGAGTTGCAGTCCCACGTCAGCATGCTCAGGGCATTGTGGGAGCTGGGGTCCTACGTCAGCACGCTCAGGGCACTGTGGGAGTTTGAGTCCCACGTCAGTCTGCGTGCCCATGGGCTCTCTTTAAGTTGTAGTCCCACGTCGGGCCACTTAAATACTCTTGCTGCTGGCGTGATGAGGCATTTTGAGAAAAGATGTTCCACTAGGTAGCCTTCGAACGGGCGCTCTGGGACAACAGACACCATCCCCTTGTCTCTCGAGGTGCATTCTGAGACGTCTATATTCCCAGCACCGTTCTCCCCCCCTCCTGCCCCGTCCCCTCCGCCGAGCACAATTGAGCACAGCTGAGCCCAGCCGAGCTCAACCGAGCAGGCATGCAGTGCTATGTTCGTGTTGCAGTGGAAGGAGATGGTCAGGCTTTTATTTTTATTGGAAAGGCAGATATACAGAGAGGAGGAGAGACAGAGAGGAAGATCTTCTGTCCGATGATTCACTCCCCAGGCGGCCGCCACGGCTGGAGCTGAGCCAATCCGAAGCCAGGAGCCTCTTCCGGGTCTCCCATGTGGGTGCAGGGTCCCAGAGCCTTGGACCGTCCTCGACTGCTTTCTCGGGCCACAGGCATTGAGCTGGATGGGAAGCGGGGCTGCTGGGAGTAGTACCAGCACCCAATTGGGATTCCGGGCGTGCAAGACGAGGACCTTAACCACTGTGCCACCGCACCGGGCCCAATGGCCAGGCTTTTGGGGCACACTTGGGAACTTGTACTGTAGGTGGCAGAAGTCATGAGCAGGTATGACGGTGGCCGGGGAACCACCTGGGCCTGGACGAGGGAGCGCTTTCAGGGCCTGTGCTCCCGGCAGCACAGGCCTGGACCCCTGGACTGTTTCCCCGCAGCCCTTCCTGCACTCTGTCCTGAACCCTTCTTTTGGAGAGGCTCTCTGGGGAGGTGCTCCCCCGTA